TGATGTAAAAGCTTGACCATAATGTACCAAAAAAAAAAAAAAGCTTGACCATAAAATAACAGAATTTTAATTTTATATTTTAGTCAAAACTAATGATGAGATATTTTAAGATTGCAAAGAAAACAGTTTGTTTTGGAAACAAGGCACTCTCCCCCATCATTATATATAGTGAGGAAACAAAGCACTCTCTCCATCTCCATTCTCAAACAAAATGGAAACCCAAAAACTGCTCATGTTTCCTGTTTGGCTCTCCTCCTTCTTCTTCTTCTTCTTCTTCAACTCGTTTTCAACAGAGCCCCTCCAATACCAATACCAGGCCTTCTTCCCCACCTCACTCCCCGAAGTAACCCAAGATTTAGAAACCCTCTCCTGGGACATGCCCCAACAATTCTCTGATTCCGAATCCAAAATGACATCCAGCAGTACTGTTGTCCTGTACCACATCGACCACCTCTCCTCGGACTCCAACTCCACCCCGGAGTCCCTCTTCTTGAACCGCCTCCAGCGTGATGCCATCCGGGTCGCGGCCATTGCTACCCGTACCGGAAACTTTAGCAGCCCCATAATTTCCGGCTTCTCACATGGCATCGGCGAGTACTTCACCCTCATCGGGGTCGGCACCCCGCCCAAGCCCTTCTACATGATCCTCGACACCGGCAGCGACCTCACCTGGCTAGAGTGTCTCCCCTGCGAAACCTGCTACCACCACCAGCTCGACGGCATCTTCGTCCCTACACAATCCTCCTCCTTTGCTCTTGTCCACTGCTACGACCTCCTCTGCTATCTCCTACAGTACCCACTGGGAAGCCCTCAGGAATGTAATAAGCAACCTGACCAGCATTGTCTCTACGAGGTCCAGTATGGCGACGGCTCCTTCACTAAGGGCGAGTTGTCGACCGAGACACTCACCTTTGGGAAAACCAAGGTGTCCAAAGTACCCCTCGGCTGCGGCTATCAAAACAAGGCCAGAATCGGCTCTGCCGCCGGTCTGCTTGGCCTCGGCCACGGGAAACTGTCCTTGCCCAACCAGGTCGGCATAAACAGCTTCTCTTACTGCCTCACGGACACCTCCAACTCCTCCAGCCATTCCTACTTGACATTCGGCAACTCAGTGGTCTCCAATAACACGATTTTCACGCCGCTGCTTAGGAATCCCACGTATTACTACGTCGAGTTGTTAGGGATCTCGGTCGGCGGAAAGCGGGTGTCGGGAATCACACCATCACTGTTCAACGAGGGCATGATTGTGGACTCAGGCACGACCCTGACCTGGCTGCCCCAGCTCGCCTACGAGGCGCTCAGGGACGCTTTTCTGGATGCCGGGGCTTCCAACCTGATGCGGGCCCCAAGTGTCTCCATCCTCGACACCTGCTTCTATGTGCCCGAAAACACGACGAAGGTGAAGGTGCCGACGGTGGAGCTGCACTTCAAAGATGCCGATGTGTCCCTACCGGCGTCCAATTACATGTATCCAGTGGACAACAACGGCACATTCTGCTTTGCGTTTGCGAACAGGACGGACGGGCCGTTCATAATTGGTAATATTCAGCAGCAGGGCTTCCGGGTCGTCTACGACCTGGCCAATAACCAGATCGGCTTCGCACCCAACAGTTGTTGAGTGCCACACAAATTAAAGATTTTTAATTTCCGCAACTTTTTATTTTTATTTTTATGTTTTTTAACTTCAGCAACTTCTGTGTAGAATTGCGTGTTTAATTACCAAAAAAATGAAAATAGATTTTAAATTGAATAAAATCATATTTGGTCTGTTTTGCATTTCAATTTTTGCCTTTTTTCCATTTACTATCACTTTCAGGACTAGCGATTAAAAATAAAATAATATAAAAATAAAAAAAACCGATTACTTGTTTGCTGTGTGACCAATACTTTGCATGCTTGTGTAATATATTTAAATATTTGTACTTATATTTGTTGATACATATTATGAATTGGTTTAAGTACCAATTAAATGGTAGTCTTGTCATTTAGAGAAAATATATGTATATATATATATATACTAGATTGGACTCCGCTGTACACGCACAGCTGACCCTAGTTTAGTCTATAATTATATCTAGTATTTGTAAAAATTTTAAAACACACTTACCCACATTTTATGGAGCAACCAAAATGCCACATATTTTTTTGTTTGTTCAAAATGTTTTTCACAAATATTTTTTTTTCAACAATTTTTTTACCACTCTTTTGACTCATTGTTTGTAACATTCAAATAAATTTTTCAAAATAATTTAAACCAAGTGGTACACCAAGGGGTACATGTAGCATTTTCCATCAAATATGTATCCTTTTGTTTGCCCTATGTAGTGTCTGAATGAGTTTATTTGATAGGACTCGTGATTCATTAAACAAAATATATATTAAATGAAAGTAGGTATGCACAATGACTCATTGTGACAAAAGAATGTTTATTGCATTATATTATAAAAGTTGAGCATTTTTTTTTATACTAATATCTTCATCCTTACTTTAATGCATTAAGTGATTCGAAAAAAAACATATAACATTTTCTTTAGGACACGATATTTATGAAAATCATGTAACATATTTTGTACTTTATACATGGTAATTATATTGATTTACATCAAAACAATGCTCTATGAAGAAAATAATTGCATCTACAATATTGTCTAAATTGTAAATTAAACGTAAGATAACTCCCTACGTATTAGAATTATAAAGAACGAAGAATAAAATAATGGAAACTACTGCAGTCCCGTTGGTGGAATGGTTCCGTCAATATTGATTACCGTAGATTATCCATACAAGATAATCTTTATGTGTATCCAATGGTGTAAAACACTGACGGTACCATCCCCTAACGGCACCTTAGAATTTTCCTAAAATAATATGGTTAAAAGATATAAATATAAGAGAGCCATTTTTTAATTATTGCAATAAACTATCCACATATGAAAGATGATAAAATCTCATAATAGTCACAGGAAATGCATCTAGTCAACCCAACCTTTTTAGTGGTATAGCAGCTATGAAGCTTTTGAATATACTGTGAGTCCGAACAATCCTGCAAAATGGTTTCCCGTCATTCATATATTTGCAAATTACCAAACATCAAAATTAAATATAGCAGTTTCCACAAGTTACTAATCGAATCTAATACCCACTTTAACCTTTTGTATCAACAATAATTTTAAATCCAATAGATAAATTAATAAATATACAGTTTAAGTAGAAGTAGGATGCTCGCCCAATACATTTAACAGTATTTAAAAAGAGGAAAAAGAACACCTAAGGTTAGTTATGCCCAAGGCTGCTCATATGTTCATTTGTATCCACTCAATATCTCATTTTCGAGAATTCGACTCCATACTTTTCATCAACCTGTCAATAAATCTACAGAGCAAAAAAACGTTTATAAGAAAATAACAACTACAAACCCAAGGGAACACTAATTTATGTAAAGAGACTTCTATGTGATAATGAAGACCATTAGTCACTGAAAAATACAAAAGTCCTATGCTTCTTGTTCACAAAAGGTGAAAATAGGAGCATGAAACACAACCACTACGATACTTTCCTAACAAAATCTCATACTCACATTAGCCCATCAGGCTTAAATATTTTAAATCAGCTTTTAGTAAAAAAAATAGAAACTAAAAAACTGTTTGGGGCTGTAAATGTAGAAGTCTGCAAGAAGGTCCAAAAAGAAAAGATCCCATACCATTATAAAATGACATGGACCCTTCATCTCTAAGCACATTCAAATCAACCGAGATAAAATATGAGAAATAAAATGATGCAGCGCATCCCACATCGGGTTTGAAAGGGAACGAAGCAGGCCTTATATGAGGATGTGGATACCTTCACTAGTAAGACGCGTTTTGGTGGGTGTGTATTGAAGCCCAGCCAAGAACAAAGCCGTGCGGGTGGCGGAAGTAGCCCAAAGCGGACAATATCTTACTAGGGCCTGCACCATAAAAGCACAAAATATCATATAAACATACCACTTTCTAAATGATTAAAATGAGTAACTCGTAAATTAGAAAGATTGTTGTACATCTATCATTGTTTTGTATCTGACAATTAGACATATGAATGGACCGGATACAAATGTTCTTACCTCCACATTTTGTCATAATCTTGATTCATTTCAAGCTCTTTCAGAAGCCGGCGGTCCAGAAGCACTACAATGCAGTAACATAGTTCAAAAGAAAATATTTCAATTCTTACTATCATTGATAAAATAATGTACGCCAGTCTTTAAATACTAAAAAATGACTATGAGCAACATAGTTGGTGAGGCCAACTTCAAGGCTATAACCAGTGGCGGAGCCACCAGTATGGCGAGGCATGGCGGCCGCCATACCTGGCCTCCGGCGAACACCCCCCCACCCCCCAGTTCTTTTTGTATTTTTTGATATTTTTTGTATTTTTTCTGAAAACAATAGAATTACTGTAAATATAATTCTGCCATTTTTGAATAATAAGAATTTGAGAAGGGATAGAGAGAGAGAGAGAGAAAAGGAGGAAGATGGTGAGAAGAGAGAAAAAAGTAATTGATTGTAACAGCTTACCTAATTTCCTTCAATCCCATGTGGGGTAAATATAATTTGT